CTACTTATATTCCTCACCATTCCACTTTCTATTATTATAAAGGTGCTCAAATAAAATGTTATCTAAAATCCAATATGGCTTCATTTGTTTCAAAGATATACTGCCAGGATGGCATCCCACCTTACTTGTGGAGGAAAGAAAAAATGAATGACAATTCTTAAATACAGAAGCATGGCAGCAGTCACCAGGGGCTCACCACTAAGTGTCATGTCATGGGAAGGGGACGTGGTAGACGTGAGTATTAGCCCTGAAGAACCCAGCTGAAATCTCGAATTACTTCCGGAGCACCTGTACTGAGTCAGACTACTCCAGCTCACGGTGGTCTAATGTCTACCTCAAGTGAGGAAGGACAAGGAATTCTGACACAAAAAAACGTGAGGACTCTGGAAAAGAACCAGGAATAGGAAAATGAAAAGCTCCTGAATTGGAGAATTCATCAAGGAGAAAGGAGGGTGAGATGTGCTGGGCCACTAGCCTTCCACGACACAAACACCACGTTAAAAAAAAATGTGTAAGGAGGCTGGCCTGGTGGTGTAGTGGTTAAGTTTTCGTGCTCCGCTTCAGCAGCCCAGGGTTCGCAGGTTTGGATCCCAGGGGCGGACCTACACATAGCTCATCAAGCCATGCTGTGGTGGCGTCCCATACACAAAATAGAGGAAGACTAACACAGATGTTAGGCCAGGGCCAACCTTCCTCAGCAAAAAAAAATGTGTAAGGGCCAGGGGTGCTATATCTTGCACAATTTCAGAGAGAGCTCACAGTTTCTATGGCAGGGTATATGAGACTGTCTGTAGTGTGTGGTTCTCAAACACATAAGCAAAAGAATCAGCTGGTGACCAAACCCACAGGGCCTGCCTCCCAGAGTCTAACTGAGGAGGCCTGGCATTTACATTTGTAATAAACACTGCAGGCGATGATGATATACTTGGTCCAGAGACCAGTCTCAAAAACAGCGCTCTAGGGCAAAAACAAAATGGGTGGGAGGTTTATTTTGATCAACATGTCTTGTGAACTGACTTTCAGACCAACCTCACAAGATTATGATAAATAACAAATCAATCATTATACATAACTTTCTCCAAGAAGTAAACTGTAAACTGACATAGTAGGCACTACATATATATTAGCTGCTATTATTAATGCTATCATCATAATTATTATTTTTCTAGGTAAATCAGAGTCTCTACTATGATGTCCGCCCTAAAAGTCAGTTTTGAACTTAATACTTTTCCTTATTCCACACTGAATAAACTGTTCTAGTGTATGTAGGACTCCCAAGGCCAGAGAGCATGTCTTACTTAAATTTCTATCACCAGCCTATTGCATAGTTCCAGGTATCTGACACAAAGCAAATTCGCAAAAAATGTGTGTGAAATGGAACCAAACTCTAAAGACTACGGATTGTGCAACGATACTGGTAACGATGAATGGGGAATGTGAGACCTTCCTTTTAAAGAGGCCTCTACAGAGACTTGGGTTTTTTTTAAACAAATGAAAAAAGAAAAACCTAGGCTCATAGGATAGAAAGCTTAATAATTATAAAATAATTATTTCTCTGGGGTTAAAAAAATAACTATTATTAAAGATACCTATAGTGTATTACATACATGAAAAAGCCTAGGGTTTTCTTTATGCATCACTGTAACCACCGCCTTGATAAACTCAGGGGTTTTCCAGCACAGACAATAGGAATAAGAAAGAATACACACATACAGGGAGAGAATGAGAGGAGAGCCCCCATGCAATCATAATGTCATTACCTTGGGTCTACATTTGGGATACTCATGGTCTCCTGGGAGCACCTTGAAAGAAATTGGTACCCGATCAGCCCTCCGATTGGCACAGAAAGCATCCCAGACAGCTCGATGGACAGCATTATAAACTACATCCAGGCCCGTAAGAGTAACAAAAGCCATAGGCCGACAACATAATTCCACAGGGAAGTCCCACTGTGTGGGGCTCATGTTCAAGGCGTCTCAAGAAATCTGCAATACAAACGTTAACACATTCATAATTAATTTCTCAGAAGCCCATATCCATACCTAATAGATGAACCTCCACCATTCAAAAAACATTACAAAAAGGCAAAAGACTTTGAGTGTCTGCAAACTTTTGAGCTAATAAAAAAGAAGACAGCAAAAGGGAAAACTGTAATTCCTAAATTATCTATTAAAATTTAATAGCTAGTGGTATTATATTTTTTAAAAATCTTTCATATTACAAAGGTTGTGGACCGCTTTAAGACAAATCAGTATTTTCAGTAACATCTCAAAAATGCACACAGAACTCTGGGATGAGCAGACCAAGAAAGCAGGAAGGTGATCAAATTAAAACAGGTCTCATGACCTATTTCAGCTATAAAGAAAAATAATCATTGACTCACATATACAACAAAGTACAACAATCTCTAATTTCTCTGTAATTGCTAACACCTAATTTCTGAATTCCTGGGATATTTTAAAAATAATATGCTAATTATCTAAATAGCTGTTTTCTCATTTCTCCACAATTAACACAAAATGTACTATTTAAAGGAAAATCTGTAAGGGAAAAATGAATAATGAATGGAAACCTCTAGGAGGACATGTTTCTACTGTGTCCTTTGGCTGAGACTCAGTCTATAATAAATCCAAGTATGCACTAGCTTTAGAAAAGCAATTATATAAAAATCTGTTTATGTCAAACAAAATTATTATACTTTAAAAATAACTTCTCATTTCCAAAAACATGTATCATGACGTTCTTTTCAAAGGTGATCTTCACCAGTATATTATACAAGACTCAAATATCATTTGCATGAAAAGTTAGGAACACTTATGCCACCACTTGATAACCAAATATTTTTAACTGAAAGGTTAATTTTAAAAAGACTATTAGGATTCTCACATTTAAGTACTGAAGGAACAATGGGTATTGAATAAATGACATGGAAAGCTTACCAGATATGATAAATGTCTACAATAGATAGAAGTTTTAGAATTATTTAAACATATTTTTACTTATTTATTTTTTTGCTGAGGAAGATTAGCCCTGAGCTAACATCCGTGCCAATCTTTCTCCACTTTTTATATGTGGGTCGCCACCACAGCGGGGCTGAGGAGTGGTGTAGGTCCGTGTTGGGGATCCAAACCCGAGAACCCCCGGCCGCTGAAGCGGAGCACTGAACTTAACCACTACACCGTGGGGCCAGCCCCTAATCAGACATCTTTAGGACACGATTAAGCTAGGAGGGCAAAGGACTGCATGTTTAGAGAAAGAAATATTTTAGTTCTAGGGAATTTTGGAGTGAAAATAAAAAAGAGGCGGTCAAAACACAATATGGGTACTTTTGCTTGATACCAAAGAGTGTAGATCGGAGCCCTAGGGGCCCATTTCTCTTAACAACCCCAGAGGCTCAAGAGAATCAGCGGGGTCTTTGAATACAGAGCGGAAATAAGGGGAACCAGAAATGACTTATAAAGCTCTAAATCACAGTCCTGTCCAAGAGAAATATAATATGAGCCATACAAAAAATTTAAAATTTTCTAGAAGTCGCATTAAAAAATAAAAACTGGAATTTTAATATTCTATTTAACCTAGATGTCCAAAATATTATCATTTTAACCTTAATATAAAAGTTACTAACAAGATATTTTACTTTTTTTGTACTAAGTCTTCAAAATCTGGTGTGTATTGTACACTCACAACACATGTCAATTCGGGCTAGCCTATTTCAAATGCTCAATAGCCACATAAGGCTACTGGCTATCATACTGGATAGCGCAGCTCTAAACTACCGTAATTCTGTCCCAAAAAATTACTGTGTGAAAACTGTATCAGAAATTCTTGCCAAATTCTACCTTAAAAGCTTTGGCCCGTGAAATGGTCGTGCTTATTCTATAACAAAGGAATGGGAATGAGAAGAACACCAGCCAAGGATAGGTGCAGGGGTTGTACGGATCTTGATGACAGCCTGGAGGAGAAATTTCCAGACCTCCTGGAAGAAGCCAAGGAAGCAACTAACCAAACCATGACGTGCAAAGAGGTGCAGAAGTAGAAGTGAACACTCTGGATGGGAGATCATGTTGTGCAAGGGAAGTAATCTGGAAGCTGGCGGGGAAGACAACAGGGAAGACTCTTGGAAAGGATGATATATTGCAAACAAAGGTGACCTAATCAAAGTGGCAGATGGAAAAATAATGTGGTCACTAATTTTTAATTAACGGAGATTCAGGGTGCAGGACACAAGGCTTGTAAGGATGAGATGTAGAGAAGTTAGACTACAAAACGATCAAAAGAGGAATGACAGTCTGGTGAAAAAAAAGAAGTTGCGGGTGTGAAGCAATAACTCGACTTAGGAAAGGGCACCGTCCCCAGGGTCGCAGTGTTCCGACCTGGTAGCTCCAATGAGGAAGGACGCAGAAACCACACTGCAGCCCTAAAGGCAGACGCTATCCTCCTCCCCGTCTCCCCTTAGACCTGGAGGGCCTAGAAATAGGTGCATCTTTTCCTCTAGGGGCTAAAAGAGAAACGCCAGAATTGCATCCGCTGACACTGAAGGAAACGGCAGGCCCTCTCAAACCAGCATTGTTAAGAGCCACCTCTCTCCCTCCGCGGTCTCCGGGCCTGCACTCACCCAGGCCGCACGCCCCGGGCCCGCTGCAGCTGTGGCCGGTCGCCGCAGCCGGGAGAGGACGAGGGGAAGCAGACACGGGTGTCACAGAACGCCGGGGCGCGTCCCTAACGCCGCTGCCCCAGAGCAGATACCACCCAGCGAGACTTCCCTGAGCCCACCTGCGCAGGCACAGGAAGCACTTTCTGGGCCTGAGTGACAGCGCGCTACACCAATCCCTGTCCCGGAACTTTACGCTGCTCCCAGAACGTCAGGGAGACGCTCCATTTCCTAGAGGAGGAGGAGCCAGGGGCGTAGAGGGAAGGAGCCAATAGGAGAAGCGAGGAGGAGGAGGAGGCGGAGCCTCCGCCGCGGCCGCCCCGCCTCTCCCCAGACGCGCCAGCGCCCCACCTGCCGCGGGCTCCCGTCCCCGCCCCCAGCTCCTGTCGGCGCCTGGGCCCTGCCTGAAGGCCGGGGCGCGCGTGACTCTCGTCGGACCTGGGAAGGGTGTGCCTCTCGACCCGAGGGGGCGGAAGGGGGACGCCCCGGCCTCGGGGCCACTGCTCTCGCTGTGTCTTTGTGGTCGCGAACGCCGTCCGCCCGGGAGGCGCCCCGCGCCTGGCGCGATGAGTGCCAACGAGGACCAGGAGGTGAGTCCCCGGCCTGGGCGCCCCTGTCCCCGCGCAGGCGCGGTGCCACAGCGCCGAGGGAGGGTGGCTGACCCCCTCGAGGCCCGGGTGCAACCCGGCGCCCGGGCGAGCGGCCCGGCACGTGCCCTCGCCCCTGCAGCCGACAGAGCCTGGCTGGGGGGCCCCGAGTGTCCAGGGGTCCTGCGAGGAGAGGCCAGGCCCGAGTGACCCGGTAGGGGTCCGCCTCGGCCTCCCCTCCCCCCGTTTCGCAAACCCCGGGGTCGCCCCAGGTCTCCTTAATAACAAGGATGAGTGTCCTTGGTCTGCGACCCGGTGCACTTGGCTTGCTCACTTGCTCAAATCAATGTGGTGTTAGCGCTTGTGTACTGAGTTGTGCGTGTGGAATCTGATCCCCTTTAAATTTTAAAGTCTGTTGGCTGGTAGGGAGAGAATTAATTGAGTTGGTCAAATTTCTGGTGGAGGAAGATAATGACACTAGCATCCCCGGTTCCTGGCCATATTGTTTGGTGGAATCATTCATTCATCTCATAGTTGTCGAGTGGTTGTGAGGTCTGTTTTGAGCATACATGTATCACCTGAATTGTATGGTTTATGCTCAGATATTTTCTCGTGAAATGCCACTTTGACGCTGAATCATATGATATTAGAATTGGAGGGGATGCTTCAGGTCATCTCGGGGGGAACCTTCTAATTTTGTAATGTGGGCAGATGCAAAGGGTCTACAAAGGTGAAGCGATTGTCCCAGGGCTGCACAGTGAGTCTGTGGTAGAATCAGGGCTAGAATCCAGTCTCCTAGATAAGAAGTAGTTCTCTCTTCATTTAGAATATATTGCTTGGAAGTTAGCACTTTTACATGACAGATGTAATGAAATCTCTGAATTAGAAGTTACGTTTTTTTAAAGACCCAAAGTCCAACAAGCTAGTTGATATCTAAATCCCTTTTAAATATTCTTGTCAGGTGAGTTTCTAAGCCATGGCGTGAATGGTTCTTACTGTGAAGCATGGAGCATATAGTGTAATGTTTCTCAATGTTCGGCCCATGGACCACAGCCTAGAACCATTTGGGTGGTTGACAGAACAACAGATGCCTGTGCTCTACCTCAGATTTACTGAATCAGAATTCCTGTGGTGGGGCCCTGGGATCTGTTTTAATGATAAAATTCCATTCATCTTCCATGTGACTGATTTTCAGATATTTGAAGACAATTTTCCTGGCCTCCTGTTCTCATACTAATAATTCCTTTTAGCTTTTCTCCGGATATGCAGTCTTTTTACTTCCTTACCTCTCCTGGAATTGTGTGTCTGTGGACAGTTATAAGTTTATTTCTATCCTGTTTTAGAATTGTGGCATCACAGTTTTCTGCAGTTAGAGTTACTGTCAACTAAAATCCTTTAAGTGCTTTATGCCAAGCAATTTGTGTTTCCTCTGCTTTACATGTAGGTATCTAAGGACAGGTTCTACCTACCCTGTAAAGTTTCATCTTATTAGATTGTTTGTCAAGGACTTTTTGAATTCTTACTTTGCCACCAGCATGACTCACTGTCCCATCGAGTTGTCATCCACGTATTTGGTAAGCCTGCCTTCAGTTTTTGTTCCTGTCCAAATTATTAATTAAAATATGGGCAAAGACTGAGGACAGAAGGAGTAGCGCTATATTTTGAGTAAGTTTGTTTGTTCCTATGTAGTCTTCTCAGTTATTCTTGAATCCAGTTGAATTCCTCTATTTTTTTCTGTGAAGGTGGGAAGAGAAACCTGAGGGGCCTTGGTGAAATCCAGGCAGACTGCTTTGTGTGTTTCCCTAATGTACCAGTCAGGTTACCCTCTCTAAGAAGGGTTGTTTACATATGTCTTGTTTTGCGGATGCTTACCAAGCCTTCGGGACTCCTCCTTACTCTTCCAGGTTCTCACAAACTATTTCTTTAAAGATCTCTTCTAAAATTTTGTCCATGTAGATCAAGCTCACCCATCTTTAGTTGGTAGAATTCATGACACACATCTGTTTGAAAACTAAAATACGTACCCAAATGTGGTCTGTCTTTGCTTCTCTTCTCAGGAATTGGTCCGTAATCACAGCAATGATTGGGTCTTCTCATTTGAAAGCCCACAATATTCTAAGAAATATTTCCAGCAAGGATTACTAGTTACATTTTCTCTCGAAGTCCTTTTTCCCATCTTGGGTAGATCCTTGTCAAACTTTTTCTAGCTATCTTTTTTTTTTTTTTCTTGGTGAGGAAGATTGTCCCTGAGCTAACATGTGTGCCAGTCTTCCTCTATTTTTGTATGTGGGATGCTGCCACAGCATGGCTTGATGACCAGTGTGTAGGTCCAGGCCCAGGATCCAAACCTGCGAACCCGGGCCACCAAAGCGGAGCACAAACAACCACTACACCACCAGGCTGACCCCCTAGTTATCATTTTTTAAAGTTCTTTTTGAACAAAGCTGGAAGTATCACACTCCCTGATTTCAAAATATACTACAAAGCTATAGTAACCAAAACAGCATGGTACCAGCACAAAAACAGACATACGGATCAATGGAATAGAATCGAAAGCCCACAGATAAACCCACACATCTATGGACAGCTAATCTTTGACAAAGGAGCCAAGAACATACAATGGAGAAAAGAAAGTCTCTTCAACAAATGGTGTTGGGAAAACTGGATAGCCACATGCAAAAAAATGAAAGTAGACCCTTACCTTACACCATACACAAACATTAACTCAAAATGGATTAAAGACTTGAATGTAAGACTTGAAACTATGAAACTTCTAGTAGAAAACATAGGCAGTACGCTCTTCAACATCGGTCTTAGCAACATACTTTCAAGCACCATGTCTGACCGAGCAAGAGAAACAATAGAAAAAATAAACAAATGGGACTACATCAAACTAAAAAGCTTCTGCACAGCAAAGGAAACCATCAACAAAACGAAAAGACAGCCTAACAATTGGGAGAAGATATTTGCAAACCATACATCTGATAAGGGGTTAATCTCCAAAATATATAAAGAACTCATGCATCTCAACAACAAAAAACCTAACAACCCAGTTAAAAAATGGGCAAAAGACCTGAACAGACATTTCTCCAAAGAAGATATACAGATGGCCAACAGACACATGAAAAGATATTTAATAGCATTAACTGTCAGGGAAATGCAAATCAAAACTACAATGAGATATCACCTCACGCCTGTCAGAATGGCTATAATTAACGAGACAGGAAACAACATGTGTTGGAGAGGATGTGGAGAGAAGGGAACTCTCATACACTGCTGGTGGGAGTGCAAACTGGTGCAGCCACTATGGAAAACAGTATGGAGATTCCTCAAAAAATTAAGGATAGAACTACCATATGATCCAGCTATTCCACTGCTGGGCATTTATCCAAAGAACTTGAAAACACCAATGCATAAAGATATATGCACCCCTGTGTTCCTTGCAGCGTTATTCACAATAGCTAAGACTTGGAAACAACCTAAGTGCCCATCAAGGGACGAATGGATAAAGAAGATGTGGTATATATACACGATGGAATACTACTCAGCCATAAGAAACGATGAAATCCAACCATTTGTGACAACATGGATGGACATTGAGGGTATTATGCAAAGTGAAATAAGTCAGAGGGAGAAGGTCAAATACCGTATAATCTCATTAAGTAGTAGATAATAACAACAACAAACAAATACACAGAGACAGAGATTGGATTGGTGGTTACCAGAGGGGAAGGAGGGCGAAAGGGATAATTGGGCACATGTGTGTGGTGATGGGTTGTAATTAGTATTTGGGTGGTGAACATGATGTAATCTATGCAGAAATAGAAGTATAATGATGTACACCTGAAATTTATGCAATGTTACAAACCAATGTTACTGCAATAAACAAAAAAGAAAAAAATAAATAAGTTTTTTTTATTGTCCTTAAGTGTTTTTACAAGTTTTGTATCATTCTGTGGGAAGGATTCCAAATATAAATAGCATACGTAAATAATGGAGAATTATCGTGCTTCGTATTTCTCATCTCCAAGTTCAATACTCTGTCTACCCCAGGCTCCTCTTCAGCAGAGTGATAAAGGCCACATGCTCTAGAGTTGCTTTAAACCAAATCTTATTTTCCTCCCTGGTAGAAGGAGAAAATAGTATCTTCTTCACAGGGTTGATGTGAGAATTGTATGAGATAATACACTAAGATGCTTAGCAGTGCCTGGCATGTAGTTTTGAAGTATTAGTATAGTGACGTGTTAGTATATACACGTGTGTTATAAACATCAAAAGCCATATAAGTTAGCCAAGTTTTACATAGTTAAGTGGGCTTGAATCAGAAACTAAATACCCTCTATTTCTAAGCCACTTATACCACTGAACAAAACCCTTCTGATTTATTTCTTTCAGATGGAACTGGAAGCATTACGTTCTATTTATGAAGGAGATGAAAGTTTCCGGGAATTAAGTCCAGTTTCATTTCAGTATAGGGTAAGACATGGCATGAATAGGAGCATTTACTACTTTGCCAGAAAAGATTAAAGGATGCTGAAAATGCTGATTTTGTTTTTTAAATTTCGTTTAAATTTATTATGTCTGTAGATTTTCTGAAGCGTTTAAGTGAAAACTCATCACCATGACATCACTTATTTTTAACTTTGAATACTTAACTCAGAACTTTTAAAAACTAAGATAAACTTGTTTTTATTGTAACAATTATAAAATGTTAGAATGGAAGAAACCTTAGAAATTATATGGTTTTGCTTTCTAATCTTAAAGATAACTTCTGTCAGTCATCACTTCCTAAGCTCTGATAGCTGATATGGATAAATATTAGGATTAAAATCCAGGTCTCTATTCTAGGTCTAGTATTCTTTTAACTACGCTATGATATAGTCAAGAAAAGTTGATATTTTCTTAATTCTATATTATCAATATGTGTGAATATTTTTCACATATGTGAAATGTCAATTTTTCTTTAAAATGGAGGTTACTTATAACTCTGTTTTCAACATGAAACAATACCAGTATTTTATTTTGTAATTAAATAATATAAACCATTTATCCAAATGATTGTAAGTAATAATGTTATGGGAAAATTCTTTTGTATAAGATTTATGGTCATTAACATTGTCGCCGTTTTAAATAAATCGTATGAAAAATGATCCTTATACATGATTATTATAGACTCACAGGAAATAAATTCTTTGTAGTTACTTCCTTTAGATACTCTCCTCTCTGCTCAGCTCTTCTCAATTCTCTTTCAAACTCAACACTCCTTACACCTCTCCATGTATATAACAACGAAGAGACTTGTAACAGCCAAAGTTAACAGTGGAGTTAAGTTCTAGGCCCTTCTATCTAATCCAGCTGCCTCCCTAGACTTTCCCAATCACTGCCACTCTCCCCTTAGCAGATGGGAGATTGAGGATTCCCCTCTGCTTTCCTAAATGTCTGCATTAACAACAGCAGTGATTTATTGAGCACAGTATACAGACTGCTGTAGGACCTGTGTGTGTCTCATGGGATGGACACTCTGATGTGTCCCATAGGATGGATTTAAGGGGAATGAAAGGAGAGCTTTGGAGACAGTGTGTTGAGAGTCAGAGAACCTAGGGTACGTTCTGGCTGTGTCCTAGTCGGACCCCTCAGTTTCTGTGCAGACTAGTTCAGTAGCTTCCAAAATGGTTCTCCCCCCTTAGTTCTTTCTTCAGCTTCCCTTACGCTTCACCATTATCCTCCCAGAGACTACTAGTTAGCCCTCCAAAACACATAGTTAGCCCATTCCGGGTTTCTCTTGCCTATAGAATGAGGATTAAATTCCTTAGCTTGACACTCAAGGCCCTTTGTTTGATTCAAACTTCCTCTCCAAACTTGCGCAGCCACTGCCATCCATCCAGACATAATAGCTTGTTAAATATTTCCCTGCTTTTTTTTTTAATACTGTGCCTTTGGGCACATCATTTGCTCTTCCTCTCACCTCTCATCCGTCACGCATCCTGCTTCTTTAATCTCTAACTCATGCCTCCTCTGTGACATATTTGGGCCATGTCTCCCCTCTCTCCCCTGACTGCAAAGTAGAACTGACCATTCCTCATTTCTTCGTACTTTGTTCTGTCACTTTTGAACTTTTAATCATACTGCAGTTAGTGAGTTTTCTAAACGTCTGTCTCCCTTGAAGACAGGAATGGTCTGTCTCTCTGTGTCTTCGGTACCGAGCAGTGTGGGGATGTGGAGTTTGTTTCCGCACACATCTTGAGTATGGACTCAGTGATTGCATAAAGCAGGAACTTTTATTACTTTTTAAATATCTCTGTATTTAAAACACAAGCGTAAGCAACTGCAAGGATGTGCAACTATGACATACAACTATCTACTGGGACTTTGGGGAAAAAAAAAAAGGAGGAAGATTGGCAATAGATGTTAGCTCAGAGCCGGTCTTCCTCAGCACAAAGAGGAGGATTGGCATGGATGTTAGCTCAGGGCTGATCTTCCTCACAAAAAATAAATAAATAAAACTGTTAAAAAAAAAAAAAACACTAGCGTAAACCAATGACGTTAAAAAAAAAAAAACACGAGCATAAACCAATGACGTCCATTATGCAGGTAATCAGCTTATATGGGTATATCAACAGATCCCTAAGTTTATTTGACATAATTTCTAAGTCTCACCTTATGTTGGTACGAGGTGTGATGGAGCGTGAGGAGATGGGAATAAAAAATTCATGGTCATAAAATAAAAGTGAATCAAGTAATAACTTGGGGTAAAAATTTTTTAAATCTTTTTGCTGTTGTTTAGAAATAAATATTTTTTTAAAAAAGCAGCATGTATACTAAAAATATTACAGAGGAGATTAGCATAGCCCTGTGCAAGGATGACATACTGATGCGTGAATCATTCTATAGTTTTATCAGGAAGTCAGCATTTTACAACCATCCCTGTAATGATTGTTTCAGGCATGGATCATTAATGAATGCTGAAACCTTGGGGTGAAAAGTTGAGAAAGAAGATATTTACACTGTTTTGTAGTATCACCCCACAAATTACTTCTTAATTACAAGACGAAAAAGATACTTTTACATTGAAGAGATTTGGGACTATCACCTTAACCAAGTGATCAAACTTAGTATCACCAGTGATGATTCCGGAAGATCTTATGTGCCTCCTTATGCAATGGTACAGGAATATACCACATCACCTATGTAGTATCCTTACCAAAACCATTTAGTCAGGATCTGAACAGAGGGAACAGTCAGGGACATTATACAACAAGAAAACTGGCCTACATTGTTTTTGTCAGAAAAGACATTTAAAAGGTGGGGGACGGGCCGGCTCCGTGGCTTAGCGGTTAAGTGTGCGCGCTCTGATGCTGGCGGCCCGGGTTGGGATCCCGGGAGCGCCCCGAGGCACCACTTCTCCGTCCAACGTGAGGCCGAGTCCCACGTACAGCAACTAGAAGGATGTGAACCTATGACATACAACTATCTACTGGGGCTTTGGGGGGAAAAAACTGAATAAATAAAATCTTTAAAAGGTGGGGGAGAGGGCTGGGGACTGTCCTAAATTAAAGCAAAATAAGAGATTTGACAAGAAAATGTAATCCATGATCCTCCATGGATTATGGATTTGTGGGTTGAGGAGGTGGTTTATTAAAGGATACTTTAGATATGTTTGGGGAACTTTCAATATGGATTATGAATTAGACAGTATTTTTCCATTAATGTTGAATTTCTTGGGCATCATAATGGTATTATGGTTATAAAGAAGAATGTCCTTATTCTTAGAATATTTTACCCATAAATATTTGAGGATATTTCATGATATCTGCACTTACTTTCAAATGGTCCAACAAAAACCAAAGGAAACAAAGTCACATGTGTTGGGGGAGGGAGGTTGATTCTGTAGTAGAGAAGAAGAAAGAGAGAGTACGTGGAGTAAAAGGTGTTTGGTGAATAAGATACATGTCAGTGAGTGTTCATTGTTCTGTTCCAGTTTCTGTATAAAATTAAAATATTTCAAAATAAAAAGTTGGGAAGAGAAAAAAAAAATAGAGAAGACATCTTTAAATTATTCAGGTGAAGGAGGTCAAAAGGCACACACTTCCAATTATAAAATAAATAAGTCCTGGGGATGTAACGTACAACATGGTGACTATGGTTAATAATACTGTATTGTGTAATTGAAGATTGCTAGGAGAGTAGATCTTAAAAGCTCTCATTACAAGAAAAAAAAGTTTGTAACTATGTATGGTGATGGATGTTAACTAGATTTACTGTGGTGATCATTTCACAATATATACAAATATCAAATCATTATGTTGTATGTCTGAAACTAATGTAAAGTTGTATGTCAGTTATACCTAAATAAATAGGAAAAAAATTTATTCAGGAGTTGCTGTTCAGCCTAAGGCATTCCTTTTCCTTATCTTTTTGCCTTTTCCTTTTTTCTCTAAATTTTACATTTTGTTTTCTAGTCTCTTGAGATTGTGCTAATGCATATTGATTTACTTATTTTTAATGCCTCATCATTTAGCAATTGAAAAACTTAGGATAAAGATGAGGAATTTCAAGTTTGTAGATTATTATTTTTGTCCATTCTCTTCCTGTTCCCCACTTGATGTCTTATCTTTGTCCTCAGAAACTTTTCATGAAACAAAAAAATATATAAGACATAGCCTTGGTACTGAAAAAAGCTGGAGGGCTGGTCGGAGAGACAGGCCGTGTACATCAAGTAAAGCTGTTAAGACAGACTAGGAATGAGTTAAAAGTCAGACTGTTTATACTGCCCTCACCCGCTGCTGGGTCTTAGCCCATGCCCCTGAAGTTTTCAAAATATTACATTTCTAATCTGATCATGAGTGTTGGAAAGAATTCATCATTTTAAAGATAATTTAATGTTCTTTGTATCAGTTTTTACAAGTCTAAGATTTCCCTTTTCTTCAGATAGGTGAAAATGGTGATCCCAAAGCCTTCTTAATAGAGATTTCCTGGACAGAAACATATCCCCAAACACCTCCAATTATATCTATGAACGCTTTTTTTAACAACACGATGTGAGTAGCGTTTCATTTTCACTGTTTGGTTTTTCTTTAACACTCTCTTTCACTTTTCTCTTAGCAATATATTTCTTGTGCTTTATAGATCGTCAGCTGTAAAGCAGAGTATATTAGCCAAGTTACAGGAGGCAGTGGAAGTTAACCTCGGGACCGCAATGACCTATACGTTGTTTGAATATGCCAAGGACAATAAAGAGCAGTTCATGGAGAATCACAACCCTGTTAATTCTACGGTGAGCATTTGATTGGTTTCTGCCAGATTTTTTTGTTGTTTTGGTTTTACTGTGCTAGTAATTAACTGTTACTAGTTACTATCTTTTAAAAACTGGAAGGAGGGGCTGGCCCAGCGGTGTAGCTGTTAAGTTCGCACACTCTTCTTCGGCGGCCTGGGGTTCACAGAATCAGATCTCAGGCACAGACCTACGCACCGCTTATCAAGCTATGCTGTGGCGGTGTCCCATATAAAGTAGAGGAAGATGGGCATGGATGTTAGCCCAGGGCCAATCTTCCTCAGCAAAAAAGAGGAGGATTGGCAACAGATGTTAACTCAGGGCTAATCTTCCTCACAAAACAAAAAAAAAGTAGGAGACTTTGTGTTAGATTTAAAGTGAGAGTTACATCTGAGTTAAATAAGAAAAATGAATTTTAGATTTCTTACCATCTATGTAACTTCAAAAATGAAATTTTTGGGCCGGCCCCGTGGCTTAGCAGTTAAGTGCGCACACTCCGCTACTCGCGACCTGGGTTCGGATCCCAGGCGTGCACCGACGCACTGCTTGTCTGGCCATGCTGAGGCCTCATCCCACATACAGCAACTAGAAGGATGTGCAACTATGACATACGACTATCTACTGGGGCTTTGGGGAAAAAAAAGGAGGAGGATTGGCAATAGATGTTAGCTCAGAGCCGGTCTTCCTCAGCAAAAAGAGGAGGATTAGCGTGAATGTTAGCTCAGGGCTGATCTTCCTCACACAAAAAAAAAAAAAATGGAATTTTATTCTCTAGATTTTACCCTTCATATAAGACTAGAATACTTCATGGGCCCGCCAAAACTGAGCTATTGTAGAACCAAATATTTTTCAAAATTTGTTTAATGTCTTCATAAAGCTTAGAGAATTTCTTATGTAGTGCTAAAATACGTGTGAAATTACTTTGTCCGTGAGGCTTATTTAATTGTAAATACTCTTGCCACAGTTCAATTTGAAGATGTTGCTGCTTAAGGAAACGTTATTAAATAAGAAAAATAATATTTTATTTCTAGAATTATTTTCAGAAATAACCTTTCTTCTTTCTCAGGGACCTGGTTATAATAATAGAACTAATATGTCCTTTGATGTGAACTTTTAGAAGAGTGAAACCAGTGTGCTAAGGTCACCTGATCTAATAAATGAATAAATGAATATGATAATATGCGATGCTTTTACCTCACAGATCTAAAAATTAGAGGTAGCCATATTTAGTGCAATTCAGTAAGTTTTAAAGCATGAGTCTAAGAATTATTTCTTTTTTTCTAGACATCCATAAGCAATATCATCTCTGTTGAAACTCCTAATACAGCCCCATCAAGTAAGAAAAAAGACAAAAAAGAACAACTTTCAAAAGCCCAGAAACGTAAGCTGGCAGATAAAACAGGTTTGTGTTATTTTCTTTTTCTTTTATAACGCAGATAAATGAGTTGCTTTTTAGTGTGATATGGGTACTTAATAAGTAGATTTAGAAGATTAGCTCTCTATTCTTGGAACACTTGGATCAGAGACGGTCTTAGGTCACAGATATATATTGAAAATATATATTACTGCTCACCACCAGAGGTAACCATCTGAGAAGAAGGTAACTGAGTGGCAAAGTAACTATAAATGAGTCTTAAGATTGAGAAACATAGACTAGTATACAAAAGCGTGTCCTACTTGTACGCTTTCTGACGTGTTTGGGATTTTCCTATTTGTTCACCTCTATAGCAGATATGTGTGTTATTGAAAATTTGTTGAAAAGTAGCTTTTATTTGAAATGAAATCTGGTACACATTAGATCTTAGCACAATAAATAATGTAATGTTTTTGTTTGCAGTTGACTTCTTTATACAACAACAATAAGATTTAAGAATAGAATTCCTGTGTGTCCTAAACCAGAATCATCTGGTCTGGACCTTTAGAAGAGCATCATAAACTCCAGCTCATATCACCTATAATATTTGATCCCTTTTCTTTATTTAACCTGAATATTTGCAAATTTATATCACCTTGTAACCTTTTTTTCAGTTAAGGAAAATGAGGACATTGCCATGTGTGCATATGTACATTTATATACATATACACAAGTGTGTGTATGTATACTTGCGTCTGTATGTGTGTGTTATTGGTGTAAGGTTACAAGCTGCCCTTTATTGAGAAGAACTGACCCTTTTACTTTGGTGAGGAGGTTTAAAATAATGCCCTTTCTTTTATAAAGTGATGGTAGTTTTTTGGTTGTTTATGTTTTATTTAATGTCATCTGTGGCAGAATAAAAAGGTAGCAACTCTCTGTTGGCCCTCAAAACACATTTTTGAAATTATAACAGTTTGCGAAATGAAAAATCTGAGAATGCGTTATACCTAATGTCAAAGCAGCATTAAAGTATAAACAACTAAAGCAGTGAATTGTTAGCCATTATAATCTGTTTCCTAGAATTCTGGCAAATCTGTTTTTGGAACGTTTTAGCATCTGTGTCAGTTAGTTCGTTACCTATTGCATACATAATGACCTATGGTCATTCCCTTTCATTAATCCCTCCCCACCTCCATCTTCTTGATGATGCCCACCTAAAAGTCATTATCTTCCTATAATTATGCTTGAGGAGTTTGTGACTTGGAGCTTGCATTCTAAATAAAACTTAAATGGGACAGTCACAGCACTTTTGGTAAGTTTTGGTTACCAAAGTTGGTGCTCTGCCCTCCTGCCGCTCATAACCAGTAACCAGTGGGATAAGATTTTATTGGCGTGAAGAAGAAAGGAACCATTAGCATCTAAAATTGAGCTCCAGTAATATTGCTTCTCTCCTATAAGAATCATGGGGTTACTTTCTGTTTCCCTTGCTGTAAAATTAATGGTCTTGTTTTGAATGAAGATTTTGAAGGTTTCATAAAATGAGATAAATATAGATTTATTAAGCATAAAGGAAATCAAGTCATTTTAAATAGAAGAATTTTTAAATAGAAGAATTTTTAGATTGTGTTTATTTACAGTCATGTGTTGCTTAATGATGGGGATGCCTTCTGAGAAAGGCATCAGGCGATTTCGTCCTTGTGCGAACATCATGGAGTATACTTACACAAACCTAGATGGTATAGCCTCTACACACCTAGGCTGTATAGTACTAATCTTATGGGACCACCATCGTATATGTGGTTCGTCGTTGACCGAAACATCGTTATGTGGCACATGACTATATTAAACTCTGCTTTAAATTTGAATATTCTATTGAAAGAATGATATGAGTTTGTAAATTAGAAATTCTGATATAAAGGTTGAGCTTGTTTTCAAGCCCTTCCAACAGATTAAAGCCCTGATTAAAGAATGTCAGATTAAATAATGAATATTTTATCAGAGCACAGCAGTTTAATAAATAAGTCTACCAGGCCTCCTCCTTGGCTTGAAGCCAGACGTTTGTTCATAAGGCATTTTGTCTTGAACCTAACTTGCTAGTGTGAAGCACTAACTCATGAAACAGTGAGTAAGCCAGGACCTTGTGCAAAGCAGTAGAATCTTTGTGCAAACTCGTGAAACTACTAAGCTGATTGGCTGCGCTTGCTGGTGTTACCAGCTCACCTCCATACGTTTTCCTTGATGTCAGGTTTTGTCTTGAATGGAAATAGGGGAATGTGAAGTGGGGGGTACACCTGAAACGTTTGGCAGCTATTCCTGGGAGAACAATGCTTTCAGTTCACAATGATGATAGACTATTTTTCCAACTTAGTAATATGTGATTTAGGTTTTTGATCTATTTGTTGTGTAGAATAGTATATAAAATCTTTATTATTATTATTAAAATATTAATTAATTAAACAATTACTAATTGGTCTTAGAAATCAAGTTAACTGTTTTTATCCTCTAGATCACAAAGGAGAACTTCCTCGAGGATGGAACTGGGTTGATGTGGTGAAGGTATATAATGTTTATATTCTAGTCTTCAAAAATTGTTATAACTGTTGCCATCAAATAATGAAATTTGTATTTTCCCATTTTCTCCCCCTCAACCTTTGGATTTTACTGGGATGTCTGTTTCCTTTTTTACATTCAGCATGTAAGTATTTTTGAAATATCCTTCACATTCTTCTCTTCCCTGTACCTTCAGTTTTAGATTTTCTTTTTTTAAATAGTGGAAAATCTGTAGAAGTAAGTTATAACTACAATAAAGTTTAACTGTATATGTAAGTACATCTTAAGAATGGACATGTTTAAATATGACTGTAAGTTGGTTACAATATGGAAACTGAAGAAACAAGTCACAGAAAGGAATGCTTTGATTTCTCAGTAGAAATTATAGAAATTAAGTATTTTTTTAGGGCAGACCCTAGATGTAGTTTCCCATCATTATCGAGAAGGATTTTCTGTTTTTGTTGTTTAAAATTATTTACTTTCCATTTTGAATTTTTTTTTGCCAACTTAATGTTTCTCTGGCAGTATTTGTAGTTTCAAATATATTAAACTGATATTTAACACAGTAAGTTAATTCTCTTTGTAGGACTTCATGAAATGAGTTTTGCATGCCAATTAGTGCCACTACTGCTGTGAGAAGTAATTAATATGATCCAAGGGTAGTTAAAGATTAGGATTTTAGTGAGGACCTACAAATATGGGTAATTTACAAGCAGTATATTCTTCAAGTTTATTTTAAAGTCAGCTGTTTGGACCGTGGGATGCCTTTTCTATAGAAACTGTTTAAAGTAATCTTTGTGCTTCTAAAATCTGGTATAAAAGTATTACCTGGCAGTAGGGAGCCCTGAGCTGTGATGGGAATAAAGAAACAGTATTTCTTCTCACCTTCTTGGGCGAGAAGCTGACCGTATACAGGATTTCTGTATGGGTGAAGCTTCTCTGGCATTCTCTCATTTGCTCGGGTCCCCTACACTGGTGCTTGATAGCTACTTCGTGTTGTCCGGCTAAGTCTGTTCTCGAAATGCTCCATGCTCCAGACTGAGCTATTCCCTAAATCAGGATGAGAATGCATCTTTTCAGTGCAGCAGATCTCAGCTGAAAGGGAGAGGAAAAAGAATCTGACTAATCCAAAGAAGGATAGAGCGCCTTCTTCCCCAGCTCCAGAAGTTCAGGTTTTTGTTTGTTTTTAAGAGAGTCCTTGTTAATATAAATTAGAATTAAAAATTAAATTAGAAATTAGAATTTTAAGCTACAAAAGAAAGTAAAATGTAAATAATCCAGTAATCTTGGGAGATTGGGAAAGATATTTTTAAGAAGGAGGTTACCACCCAGACACGGTTTGGACTCAGAATCCAATACCCTAAGCTACTGGTTCCCCAGTGTGGTCTTTGGACCCCTGGAAGGTCCTGAAGGCTCTCTCAGGGGGTCTGCAAGGTCAGAACTATTTGCATTGTAATATTAAGGTGGTGTTTGCCTTTTTACTCCTTCTCTGATGAGTGTACAGTGGCATTTACCAGGGGCTGCGTGAAATGTGGTGATGCCATTACTAATATTCTTCTGTAACAGCACTAATAGAATGTGTGCTTTTATATTCTTGTGTTTTCTGTAATTTTCTAAGGTAGTAAGTAAGTTTAGGATCTAAGTATGTGCATTTTTATTTTAACTCAGTTTGTTCTTAGTACTTGTACTGTGTTCTTATTAGCTGTCTTCCATTATACCTGCCTTTCTGTAGAAGCAGATCTGTGAAAACCCAGCTGTCTTCTACTGAGCTAGATAATGAGATTTGCCAAAATGTAAAATAACACTACTCTTTGCCTTAAGTTTTTGTTGCTGTTTTAAAAAATGCAGTTTTTTATTTAAAAAAATGTTACTGGATTATCATATAATGGGTTTACTGTTATTTTTACATGAATTAAATTTCTTAGTTTTAATTTTAAATGCAGTAGGTATAACTTACATTTTTGAAAAAGCTCTTTAGGATTCTCAACTTTTAAGAGTGGAAAGAGGTCCTGGGGCCAAAAGGTTTGAGGACTGCTACCCTTAACAGTTTCTGCTTTTTACAGCTCTCCACATTCTCTGGGGTTCTTGGGGTTTGGGTTAAATGGGGATTTTTTAGTGGCTGGTCTTTATTCTGGTCAGAATTACCTTTGTGTTCTTTGGGGATTTTATCTGTCCCCCGCCCATTTGCCAACTCCTGCTGTAGACTATACTTTAAGAATTGTCTGATTAAGATGATAAATGTCTTTTGTTTTTTATCACAACTAAAAATTTTAGAAATTAAAAAAAGAATTTATTGTTTATGATAGAAAACAGAAATAGAAGATATCATTCATTTTATAAATGACACCTTTTATATAATCTTGATTCCAATTTATATATCTTGGAAAGCTTCAAGGGACTTTTTTGCCCCCTTTTTCTGTTGAGGTTATATTTGTAAAGAATCCTTTTTAAAGTAGCGAAGCCTGAAGTTGAAAAGTAATTGTGTATGGTAAAAGCTGTAAATGGCTTAGTTACTTGAACCTTGTTGTCTGTTCTCTTAACTAAATATTTACGTTTGATATTAAGTGGAAATAATGAACTCATAATTTGATAGCTTAAACTTGTTAAACATTTCTTTTATCTTTTTTTATAGTTAAGCAAAACTGGCTCTAAAGATGATGAATAGTGCTTGGAATTTGAGACAAGAGAAGAGCATCCTTTAAAAAGTAAACTGGGTTCAAAATCTTTTGTTACTCTTCTGGTATTGAGGTGGCTTTTTATAAAACACATTTTTTTTTTGTATGTTTCTTACATAAAAAATGTTTTAAGCTGAACATGAAGAGATCTGGTTGTATTAAATTATTTTCACAAACTTGCCTTAATAAAAGATGAAAATGTTACTGTTTAGAATACTTTATGAAGCCTGTTGAGCTTTGGAAATGGACAAATATGGGGGAATAAAAAAATAATGCATGTTAATTTATATCATCTTATTCTAGTGGACGTGATTTGTTTTTAAAGGAATAGGAAGTCCTTTTCAAACTCTCATCCCAGTGGAGCAGCATACTGAGTGAACAGTTACTCCACAGCATGACCCACACTAACAGGCTTCTTGTCTCAATAAACTCTTCATCTCTTCTTTCTCTTAGTTACTGAAGCATAAATTGCTTCAGAGAAACTTAAATACTGCTATTTGAACTTTATACATAATATTCTTTGTAGTTCCTTTTAATTTTCCAAGGGTGAACTGCTTCTCTTTAATAAACATCTGTTTATTCTGTTCTCTTGGTTTGGGTCACAGTGTTTGATCATGAGGGCTTTCAGTGGTACGTGTACTATGAAAATATAAAAACGAATCTGCCAAATACATTAGAAGGCGTTTGAATAGAAGTGCTGATTCCTATTGAAGACATTTCTCTTTGTTGCATTTACCAAGATGGGAGTAAAAGATGCCTTAATATTTAATTTTTGTATTGTTGGAGACAATGGTTTTAATAGATTCCTATTTATCTGCTATTATGTATTTTTAGTTGTTTGGTAACTGAGGTCTTCTAAATGGTTTAACATAAAACCACATTTTAAGTCTTGTTGCTTTTCAAGTATCCAAATGTATTTCTCAGCCCAAGCATCTTTGTAGTAATAGATATAGAAGCCTTTCAAATGCTGAACTGTGGTACATGTTTGTTGTTTTTTAAATCATTAATAGAGGAGACTATTAGTACAGTTTTACCAGGAAGGTATTGACGTGTGTGTGCGATTTACAGTGATTCTGTATATGCTCCCCAGCCTTAAAAACACTTAGCACTGCTCTGTGGTGTCTGGAAGGGTAGATTGTTGGTTCCTCCAATTATACCTGTGCAGCTTAGGTCTCAGTTTTTAAAGAATAATGAACTTTTAGAGAAATTTCCTTAACACAAGAGCAATTTGAATAGTATCCATGCTTTTTACTGGGTTAACATTAGCTTCAGTTAAATAGTTTGAATTGTTAAGTATAATTACAGTGAAGAAGTTGAATCTCATTTTCAAAAGCTGAATCACATTTTATTTCTTGAGCTAATATGATAGAAACATTAAACTTCAGAACCACTGGGGTATACCAACTTTTGTTTTGGGATTGTGTGTGTAGTTTTTGTCATGTTGATTTATTTGCTTGTTTTTTAAAAAAGCTGAAACTGTCACATCTGCTAATGGGAGAAAATACTTTGTTTTGCTGTGAAGATTCTGAAGTTGTTCAGGCTTATCGTGGTTCATAGATTACAAAGAATAATGCTAGTTTAATGCCAGTGAACTATTTTTACTCTTTTTATATGAAATGTACAAATTTCGGGGGGTGATGGTGGCAGTGGTGCCTCCTACTACCTTGTGTAAAACACCTGAACATCCTCATCAATACTGCCATCATCTGCTTAATACTCCCGGTATATTTTCTCAAAGTCTGTTTACTTAAAATTATATGAAGTGACATAATTAATGAGCAATAAAATCTGAATTGCACACAATGATTTTTCTACCTGTTTTATTTCAGATCACTTGAGAGAGTTGTTGATTTTATAACTCTGCATAGACTTGTAGCGCAAGATGTACCCTCTTGCTAGAAATTGTTCAAAATGTTGGATTAAAAAATATATTTTTTTAAATGAGCTGACAAGAAACTAAGAAATACCTAGAGTCTAAAAAATTAAATGAATGTTGGAACCTGAAGGTTAAGGACAGCTTCAGTTTTCACAGCTTCAGGGGACCCTGAAGACAGGAGGTGAAATCCAGGATCAGCCCAGGGTAAGGAGTCACACATGCACATGTGTGCGCACGCACACACACACACAGCATACACAAGTCTGAAACCTCTCCCTCAGCGGGGACCCTGAGGAAGAGTTCCTGTCTTGAACTTTGGGTCTAGATGGGGTGGTAAAATGTAAATAAACATGCATGTATTCTCCTGACCACTTAGAACAAGTTACCTCGCACTTGGATTTCAGCTCCAATTCTTCCCATGTAGGTGTTCTAAACAACCCTCAAGCCAGGATTTTAGTTTAAAGTGGTACCAAGTGGGTAGCATCTCTGGGCAACTGGTAGAAATGACCACAAATCTGCTCTGGAAGAACCCACCTTCAACCCAGGCCTCAAAGAAGCCCCACGAGTAGACTGCGTGGAATGTGCGCTGTCAGTCAATGCACGGAAGCAGGGCGTTATGAGAGCATGCTGAAAAGAATGGGGAATAAGGGCCTGGAGGATATATTGATAGTACAGACTCTGAAGTATTAAGAGGAAATTGAGGAAGGAGCAAGAAACTGTTAAAAATCCTCAAGCAGATTTGGAAAAGAACCAAATAGAACTTCTCAAAATGAGAAAGAAAATCATTGAAATTAAAATTACAGAGGAAGAGGAGTATTGCTTGCGAAGTGTACTTTCGCAAATGAGAAGTGTATAAATACCCTGTGGAATGAAAGGGGCACTACACTTGCATTTTGGATTTTCTCTCTATTGTAGCATGAGAGTCTCAGTCATTCCCCGTCCTTTCTCCACAGGCCCCAGCATTCTAGGTTAGTTGGGTGACTCAAGCTTTCACGAAGTTCTGCTTGATACCATGCGTGTGCCTGCCCTGCGCCTTGTTTCAGAAGAGAACAATTGTGACAAGGAATTGGCCAGCGCTTCCAGAGGACTGTCTGTGATAGCTTTATAAATAATTAATAGATTAAAAATCATGCTATGTAATAATAGAGAGTTGTTTTATTTGTTTTGCCATTGTATATTATTCCACAGAGGAAAGAATAGAACAAGAGGCATTATCTGGTAGGGGTTTCCTGGTAATCTGATTCTGTATTTCAGTGTTTTCAATTGTGTCTCAAAATAATAAGGAAGTGATGTATGATCTAAAGTGTTCTTAAAACTGCAGTTTGTGATCCATTCATGAAGAAATTAATTGAGGCTGTTTACCAGCAATTTTTCTAAAGGATTGGAAGAGAATAGAATTGAACAAAAGTACCAGCGTATATACTACATGTTGTAGGGGTATTTTATGTGTGTGAAACTTGTTTCAGTTTTGGCTGTGTATGTGTGGGTACTAGGTAAAATTTATTTCTTAAACTAAGTCATGGCAAAGAAAGAGTTTCAAAGCTGCTGATCAGAGCATGCAAAAGATGCAACAAATTTTATATGAAAATTGTTAATTTTTAGAAATACAAAATGTGCTTTTCAAAATACCAAGAACATTTGCTGTTGATTTTGCATTATTCCTCAAGACCAATTGAGGAAAGCTATGTTGCATAGTATAATGGGGAAGGAGCAATACGTTTGATTTAGAGTAGGTTCTTTTAATGACTTCGTAAATTTGTAATAATGAAAAGTCTTTTCTTCTCTCCCCCACCTCAGCCCCCCCAGTAATGAAAATTCTTGCATGACAATTTTTGCTTATATGAAGAACTGAAGAGATCATATAAGAGCTAATGCCTGAATAAATAATTTTAGTAGCTTTAATTTCTTACCAATAAGAACCCAAAATAAACTTAGTTCGCTTTTCCAATCATTTCTAGAGGAATAATCATTTTCTTCCTGAGTTTCCTATATAAATCTACTTTCCAAAATGTCAGGCTGATGGCCTTGCAGGACATATGGTCATGTCCAAAACATCCATGACCATATTTGGTCTGTGACAAATGGTTTTGGACAGGACCAAATATCAAAGACCTTTTGGCATGGACCCAATGTCTCCATGGACGTTTTGGACAGGACATAAGATGACCAGATATCAGGGACCCTTTGGCATGTACCAAATGTCTGATGAATGTTTTAGACAGGACCAGGTGTCTGCTAATCAGCTGATGGTGGTGACAAAATAGGAAACACTCCCACCCCTGCCCATTTCCCCCTATTTACTGCTGGCATCTGGGAAGTTCTAAGTGACCCTGCAAGTTTCTCTGTGGTCTCCTGGAGCTACACTATGTCCTTTTCTGTTGCTTCCACAAAGATTTGGCCTATTGGGACACTATTCTTGATATTTTAAATAACAAGCCATCTCTATGCTCAGTTCCTTCTCCTTTCATTAACAAAAGAGAATGCAACTTAGAAAAGGAAACTGTTCACAGGAAAAAAATGCAGATGAAAACATTTGGCTTCATAATTAAGTGGTTAGAAATTAAGCTTGAAAGCCTTAATCTTATGACAGTGTTTAGAGTACAGAAAGATAAGGAGAAAGATTTTCATGTAATATGTGGAATTACAGAGGACCAGTCATACTGTGTGTAGACTGAAGACCTTCCTCTGATGTGCTCACACTTCATTCTCCTGCTCCCATTGCAGGGTGAAACTGAATATTTGTTTTTACAGAGGGCAGGTGGTATTCTGAATGACTTACTATCCAACTCATTTGTGAAGGAACATACCAAGTTTTGGACCTTTGCATCCTGGGAAAATGTTAATCCCTCCGTAACCGTGGGCACTCCAGGACCAGTTCAACTGACCCCATCTTATCAACAGAGTAGGTAAGAGTGGTTATTCAGGAACTGACACCCTTGTCCAGTTCAGACCATTTGAGACCACCAAACCATCAAGTTGGCCCCAGGCAAATGCTCGATAAGTGACCTTTTGACATCAAGGAGCTAAAAACTTCAACCTCAGATCACGGTAACGCCACCATTTTGTGAACGTGTCCTATGAAGAGGCATGAAGCTTGACTACACTTGCGCAGATCATCAATTATCTCTCTTCTTACCTCCAATCATCTCTCTCCACACTTTAGACCGCCCTACCCTTCATCTCATAAATTTTGCCCCAAACCCTGGATTGGGAGACAGATCTGAGAGACATGCCCCTGTCTCCTTGCAGATCAATCTCGCAAAATAAAGCTGATTTCTTTCCCAAAAGCTGATGTCATAATAATTGGCTTTTTTAATGTGCATCAGGCAAGAGAACCCCAATTTTGTGCAGCAACACTGCTGAGGTTTCAGTGGAAGCAAACACTTTATTAATCCCTACATTCCTTTCACTGTCTGTTTTGTACTGTAAATTCACATCTTTTTCAAATTCTACCCAATAGTATGCTTTTTTTAAAAACACCAAAATGAAAGAAATTAAAAACTGTTGAAAACTTTTCCTCCTTTTTTCTGTTCTATTTGTCTAAGGATCACTAAATCTAGAATTGGTCAGTTTGCCATTTCACTTGATAAATGCTGAATACACTACCTAAATATTTCTTACCTTCCAGGGGCTGCTCAAAGATAACCTTTCAAATTGATGGATGTTAGTTATTTAAAATCTTCACGGTAACTGAGAAGTCATGGAGTTTGGTTATAAGAATGTCCATCCATCTGCAAAAAGAAGGACTTAACTCCCTCTACGTGGTAACAAATGCCATCTGTTAAATTTTTCCTTTAGTTTCTAAAGTTTTCTTTTGTATGTCAATGTTTTAAAATTCCTTATTAAATTTTAATTTTTATCAAAGTCATACGTATAGGTGGTTTTAGAAGTCAAATAGGTCTACAAGGCTTTTAGTGTAAAAAGACCATTTTCCCTGCC